TTCGCTGTCGTCAAAGACGCCCGGGGTGGCTGCTGGCCCCCGGGAAACACGAAAGCGCCTTTGAGGCTCAAAGAAGTGACGCTGCACGGAGCTCCGAGCGGAAGTGAAACTGGGGGTGGGAGGGGCGGGATCACGGCAGGATTTCCCGGGAAACCGGCCCGGGGAGCTGCCCCGGGGAGCGTCTAGTTCCAGGCAAACGCACTGAGTGGGCGTGTGTATACCAGTGCCGTCCCATAGAAACGTCAGGCAAACCACATGTATAGTTTTTATAGTGGTAAAAAGAGCAGGTGACGTTCACTTTTTAAAAATACATATTTTTATTGATTTCAGAGAGGAAGGGAGAGGGATAGAGAGATAGAAACCTCAATGAGAGAATATCATTGATTGGCTGCCTCCTGCACGCCCCCTACTGTGTGTGTGTGTGGGGGGGCGGAATGGAACCCACAACCCGGGCATGTGCCCTGGGCCGAAATCGAACCTGGAACCCTTCAGTACGCAGGCCGACGCGCTATGCACTGAGCCAAACCAGCTACGGCACGTTCATTTTTAATAATATATTTTATTTAACCTAATTATCCAAAATACTGTTTAACATTGTTCTGAAGAAATACCTATTTTTTCATAGTAGACCTTTAAAATCTGTGTGTTATTCATTTACAGCACATATCAATTCCAACTATCCACATTTTGGGTGCTCACTGCCTAATGGGTGTTGTATTGGACGGTGCAGGTCTATCCTGTGGGTGTCACAGACAAGTGATGATTTGGGAAAAGCATGGGTTAAAATGAGGCTGGGTATTGTCACTAGCTTCTTTAATCAGTTGGGAAAATCACTTAATGTTTGAATTGTATATTATTTGGCCTATCTCATGCGTTAGTGAAGAAGCTTCAGTTGAATAGATCAGTTTATCCTACTCTGCGCCAGCCACACTGGCCTTCTTGCTTTTATTTTCAAGGCTGTTCTCTTTCTCTACCCATACTTCTGTCCTTTAGATCTTACTTGCTTTTAGCTTGAAGATCTTCCTTGATCATCTTTTCCAGAGTAGCCCTGTCCCCTTCCATTACTGATGGTGTAACTCCAGTGGTCTCCAACAGAATTGGTATCTAGTAAGTACTGGTTGAATGCATTCACTGAATGACACAAGTTAACTGATTTTGTAAACTATAAAATGTTGTGCAGTTTTATCAGCTGACTACAAACAGGAAACAGATGTAAAGCTGGACAACGAAATATATAGTAATTCCTTTATTCACACTTGGGTTGCGGGAAACGAGTTAAGTCGGCTCGCGTGAATTGCGCGTACTCCGCGGGAGCCGTCTTAAACTCGGTTCATATAGATTTGCGGTGGAGTGCGGGAAACGTGTAAACTCGGGCCGATTGTAACTGCGTATTACCAAATATTTCATTTCAATCGAACCCATACTTCAAAAGATATAGGCATTTTAACGCGCCATCTTATATTTTGGCGGGAAATTCACCCGACACCGTAGTGTTCAGTAACATTTGTTGATGCTTACTGGATGCCAGGCATTGTTCTAGAATCTGGACATAAACAAACGAGAAAGACATAGGCCTTGTCTTATAAGCATGTACACCAACAATTTTAGTGTCTGAGAGTTATCCAAGTTTGTACCAAGTACCCAGAAAGTCTGAGGTCAGAGTGATCAGCGAGGCGTGAGGAATGGCATTACAGAAGCATTAAACATGAGTTCAGTCTTGAAGGGTAAGTATAGCAAGGGAGGGGAGAGGATATTCAAGCCAAGGGAACTGTGTGGCAGTGTGGAATAGCATGTGATATGTAAGAGGACTGGAGGTTGCTTAGAACTTCTGGAGTGTAGAACATGGGAGGGAGGATGGTGGGAGTTGAGGCTGAAGAAAGGGGCAAGGGCCATGTCATGAAGGATGTTGTTCGTAGCTTTCTCTTTGAGGCAATGGGCACCGAGGACTTAAAGGCAGGGAATGACACCATCAGTTTTTGGTTTTAGAAAGATCACTTTGATATCTATGTGGATGGAGAAGACCAATTAGACTGCTGTGGCACCATTTCAAGCATGAGGCAATAAGGGCCTGAATTAGCGCGGGGCAGGGACGATGGAGAAGAGGGGATGGATTCATGAGTGCTGGAGTTGAATGACTTGGTGACTAATTGGACTTGGTGGGTAAGGGAGAGAGAGGTGTCTAGGATGACAGTGTCTAGTGCTCATTTTGGGACATGTTGAGGGGAGGCGACTGTGACAGGAAGTCTAAGGAAGAGGGACAGGAGGCAGGGGGCATCAGAGGCTCGAAACACTATTTTAGAATGGTCAGCCTACCCATAGAAGAAGTAAGCAGATGAGATTCCCCTAGGTCAGTGGTCGACAAACTGCGGCTCCCGAGCCACATGCGCATGGGCCACGAAGTTTCAATCGCACTGTACGTGCGCGCCTGCACGTGGTATTTTGTGGAAGAGCCATACTCAAGGGGCCAAAGAGCCACGTGTGGCTCATGAGCCGCAGTTTGCCGATCACTGCCCTAGGGGAAACACATAGACGGTAAGAAAAAGGGGGCATAAAGAGAAGCTGGGAAATACCAGTGCTTAGTAACCAGCAAAAGAGATCGAAAGGACCCATAAGAGAAATGGAAGGGAAAATACATTTGTGGGTGAGGGCTGAGGCAAATAAAGTGGGTGGTTGTGAAAGGAGAACAGGGCCCTTAAATCTTAAATCAACTGCCTCCTGCACGTCCCCTACTGCGGATGGAGCCTGTAACCCGGGCACGTGCTCTAACTGTGACCTCCTGGTTCATGGGTTGACACTCAACCACTGAGCAACACCAGCCAGGCTCAAAAGGTCTTTTAGATGAACACAAGTTGTTTTTTTTGAGTCATTGGTGGTGGAGGAGAAAAAGAGAACAGAGAAAGAGAAGTAGCTTCATAAACTTGAGGAAGCAGATTATTTGCATGAAAAGGCTTTTAAGCACTATTCTTTCTACTCTTACGCCATTCTGCTGATTCTCAGAGCTAATCCCTTCATTACTATTAACTCATTTAACAAATATCTCTTGATCACTGTTTTGTGTCAGACACTATACTACAGCATCAGCCATAGCACTGGGAATAGCATGGTGAATAAGACAGGTAAAGACTGTTTTCATGAAGTGCATAGTCTATTTGGACTGGGGGTAAGAGGTAGACAACAGACAGACAAATAAATGAAATAATCACAGATTGTGATATGCTGTGAAAGAAATAATGTACCATGCCAGAGAAGTAACAGGGTAGCTTTCTCTAAGATGACATTCAGGTGAGACTTGATAGATGAGTAGGATCCAGCCATCTGAGGAACAGTGGGAAGAACGTTCCAGGCACTGGACAGCAAATGCAAAGACCCTGAGGCTGGGAAGAGCCTGGAACTGAAAGAAGGTCTAGGTGCCAGGAGCATCATGAGTGAGGGGGAAAGTAGCATAAGATGACTTGGGTTATATCAGGCCATAATAAGGTGTTTGAATTTTTCTGGTGAAGAGGAAAGCCAATAAAGAATCTTAAGCAGGGTAGTGACATGGTCTGATTGGCTTTTAGAAAGATGATTCTAGCTGCTTTGTGAATATCAGATGAGAGAAGGACAAGATTGGAAGTAGGAAACGAGCCATGGGGTTATTACATGTCCAGACAAGAGATGATGGTGACTGGAACTAGAGAGTGCAGTGGGGACAGTAAGGGGGCTGATTTGATCTCTGTTTTGGAGGTACATCTGCCTGCTTGAATGGAATGCAGAGATTACAGTGACAGAAATGCACAGAACCTAAGAGCTGGTATTTAAGAGACCATTAATCCATTTGTCATCAGCTGTGACCCAGGAAATGCGTGAGGCTGACTTCCTCAGATACATAACTAGTTTGTGAAGGTCTAGATGGAAACTCATAACTGATTTGAAGTTTAATGTTATTTGAACAACATGATCACAAGCAGCATATATATTAATTTTGCAAGTGTATGCACTTTTATTATACTTATGGTTTTATATACACAAATTTTTCTGATGTTAAATCAAGAGAAAATGGTTTTTAAAAACCAACTAGCCAGCTTTGAAATGTTTGGTGCTGCCCTCCTGCCACCTCCTGGCAGTTTCTGTTATTGCAGGGAAGGGGTTTTCCAATTTTACTCAGTGATCCTGTTTATATCCCAACTGTGGCAAGATTCAGAAAGACTTGAGTCTTGGATAATAGAACCAACTATGCAGGATAATTCATGCATACTAGAATTGTTAAAGGCTTTTAAAAGTTGAAAAATTCTATTTAAAAGATTAAATTGTTTTCATTATCAAACAAAAGTGAAAACTTAAAAAAAATCTTGGTCACATACATATCTCATTACAAGCCTCATATATACATTGAATTTGACAGTGATCACAAAGTAGTAGTTACATAATTGAATAAAATAATAAGATTATTTAAGATAATCACTTACCTTACTGAGCAGGATTATATACCTATTTAAGTGAACAACTAGGAGTAATAAGTTGATTTTGTAATGCTACATATAAAACATTATATTAGAAAATTGTACAAGTGATATTGTGATATAAAACAGAACTACTATATAAATTCCTTTGTAACCTAATGTCCCCCCCCCCCAACATTTTACTGTGCAATTTTCAAGCATACATCAAAGTTGGAAGAATCTGCATATATAAAAGGCTAAGCGACCGGCCAACTAGCCGACCGGCTGGCCAACCATACCGTCAGTATGAGGCGCACTGACCACCAGGGGGCAGATGCTCAATGCAGGAGCTGCCCAGCGACAGCAATTTTGCAGATTGCCCTCTCGCACTTCAGGACCCCTCAGGGGATGTCGGACTGCTGGTTTTGGCCCAATCCCCGCAGGCCGGACAGAGGGAACCCACCTGCCAGAGGGACCCCCGCTCACTCCACAGACACCCTTCGAGCCATGGTGCCGCCCCAGGTGCGGCCGGGCCGGGGAGGGACCGCAGGAGGTTGGCTCCAGGGCATGTCTGGCCCGTCTTGCCCAGTCCCACCCCCACTGGCCACCTTCTAATTAATTTCCTTTCAATGTGCACAAATCTGTGCACAGGGCCTCTAGTTTTGTAATAATACCAGTATACCCACATCTAGGTTCTGTCATTAACATTTTATTCTATTTGTTAATCACCTATCTGTTCATCTGTCTATATCTTCTCTGTATCCATCAATTCTTATTTCTTTTTGAAGCATTTTAAAGTTAATTGCAGAGAGTACACTTCCTCCTATACTTTAGCATGCTCAGCATTAACCAGAGTTAACATTTGTTTATGTTATTTTCTGAGGTAAAATTTAATATAATGAAATAGATACAGTTTAAGTGTACATTTGAGACATGTTTCAATTTTTCCTGGAATAAGGAATAGAATTGCTGGACTCTAGGATTAATGTATGTTAATTTTATGCTACACCTTTTTCTGAAGCGGTTGTACCATTTCATACATCCACCAACGTTGTGTGAGAGTTTTAGTTGCTCCATGTCCTTGCCAACTTTGGTGTTGTGTTTTTAAATGATCTAACTTTAAGCATTGTCACTTATAAATTATTGGGAGAAAAGTGATACCTTTTAGTTTTTATTATTCTCCTAGAGAATAATTTAAAAAGTAATTATACCGCTTATTTCTTTGTTCTATTCATTTATCTTTTTTCCTTTAAGCTTTTTATTTTGACATACACACAGACTTACAGAAAGCTTCCCTCAACCATTCTTCAGCATTTGGCAGTTTTCACCAGTTTTTAATTTAAATACTCTTTTGCTTTGTGTATAAGAAACCATTACTCATGTTTTTTCACTAATCACTCATTGCAGCTTCTATGCATGATTTTCATTCTCTGCAGACCCCTTGTTGTTGTTCCAGTTTTAGCTTGATGCTTTTTTACTCTATAGAATTCTACTGGGTGGTTTTATTCACACCCAGTGCTTCAAGTGCTGCCTGTGCTCTAACCCCTAAATCTACTTCTTTAGCTCAGATCTTTCTTGACTCTTAACTGCTAACTACACTGAGTGGCATTGTTTTCCCATATCTTCAGAAAAAAATCACTTCTACTGTCATGGTAAACAACCTGCTCCCCTATTTATAATGGTCTGGCCTTCTAGCAACTTCAGCGCGAAATTATAGCTAATTTATCTACAAACGTCAGGTGGTCATAATAATCTGGCCACTTAGTGTATATCCACTTGGATGTTCCATAGATATCTCAAGTGCAATGTATTCAAGTAGAATTTCTTTTCTTCCCTCCCATTTACATACTGTTCCTTCTTATATCTCCTAATTTGATAAATAACCTACAATCCATCTAGTTACTCAAGCCAGAACCCAGGGGCAAAAGCTGGACTCCTCCTTCTTGCAGTCATTTGGTCATCAGTTCCTAATGGCTCTCCTCTTGTGTGTGTCTCTAACCTGCCTGCTTCTGTCTCTAAGGTCATGTCTGACATTCTGCTATCAGGTGCTTCCCCTCTACAGCCCACTCTGTTAATGCTGACTGACTTGGTTTTTTTTTTAATAGCTTATTTGGGTTTTTAAATTACAAAAATTATTTAAATTATATGCCTCTTATAGAAATTCAAACAAAACAAATTTAGAAAATTTCTCCCTTCCCCCCAACTTTCAAGCCATTTCTATCCTCTAGAAATAACTAGTGTTAATATTTTGGTGTATAACCTCCCATATTTTTCTTCTATTCAAACTCATACATACACACACAGACACACACTCTTTGCAAAACAGAATTATATAACACTATTGCTTTACAGCTTAGTTTTAATTTAATATAATATGTCAATATATAGAGAACTACCTGAAATTGATGTGGAGTATCAATATACCATAATTTATTTAATAATTTCTCATTGATAATGAATAATGCTATAGTGAACACTCCTATATATTGATTACTTTAGTAGTGTTTTTGTTGCATAGATTATTAGAACTAGTATTATGTACATTTTAAATTTTGTGAAATCTTGCCACTGCCCTTCTAAAAGATGCAACTTTGTACTTTCCTACTATGATGGTGCCAGAAGCTTTTTCTACCTTGTCAATGCTAGATACTTATTGTCTAACATTGTTCAGTTTTTGCCAATTTAATAGGCAAACTCTATATAGTTTTGTGGCGATTTAAGAGCAGAATATTTCTTATTCTGAAGATGGCCTATGACTATCTTCAACATTTTCTCAATATCATTGCCTATTTGGATTAGGTGACCTTTTTAAGCTCTTGAACAAGGAAGTTGCTTGGAGAGATGATTTCTGTCTAATATGTGTTTCTGCTCGCAGGAAAAACTTCTTATGACTCAGTGTAGTCTGACAGCCAAGATGAAGAAAGCCATGCATCTACAGGACATGGAAGTGAAGAATGCTACAGAGTGGAAGGTAACAGCAGCAGTGGTTGGACATTTCTTGCCTCTGAGGCCCTTGCAATCTGTGGCTGCCATCAGTTGTCAGGCCCCTTGCAGATAAGGTGATAGAACAGGAAGTATGTATCTGTCCCTGATGATCTCTGAGTTCCATATACTTCATCCCCACCTCTACTTTGAGGCAGTGCCACCTTCTTTCTCACTTTTTCCTAAGGTTGGAATTGGTTTGGATCCATGGCATTGTAGAAAGTAAATGGACTGTGCTTTCAGAGATGCTAATCTAGTTGGGAGGCATGATGTGTGTGGGCACAAGCACATATCTAAAGGTTTAACAAAACAGAAGAGTACGTGTTCTGAGGGCTAAACTAAGTAATAGATGTGAAAGTGCATTTTAGTTTAAAAAGTACACAAAGCATTGCTAGCAATAGTAGAGACCCAGATGTTACAAAGAATAAATGAATACTATAAAGACTAATATAAAGATATCAAATAAGTTTAAATACAGGAGAAGTGGAAATTTGTGGGGGGTAGGCGGGAGCTTTTCTTAAAATGGAAGGACCATGGATTACTGGGGAGTCATGCGCAAGGAGTTTAGGAGTAAGGACTAGGCAGAAACAAGGACTGAGCAAATCTCATGTGGCTCTAGGACAAGATGAAGAATCAGAAATTGAGGTTCAGTGCAGAATTTACAAAGCTGCATGACTTCCTGGCTGAAGAAGAGCAACTGTTTCTTCAGAAGTTGAGCAAAGAAGAAGAAGAGACTAAGAAGAAACGGACTGAGAACACATTACGGCTCCATCAGATAATCACTTCCTTGAAGAAGCTCATCTTAGAGGTCGAGGAGAAGAGCCAGAGCTCCATCCTGGAGTTGCTTCAGGTGAGACCGGCAGGGGAGGGGTTAGTTAACATCACTAACTGAATTCTCTTATCTTCAGAGCTGAATGTCTTTCTTAGTGAATGGGTTTAATAGAAGAAATGTTAATTGTATTACTACTGTCGTTATAGAATTAAATCAAGATTTACTATTTAAAGGAACTTAATGTACAATGTAGGTATCATTCACCTGGTTCAATAATTTATCTAGGATCTGAAGCACATCTAAGACTTTTCTATTTGTCTTATTTATGTTTGTACAAGGTGGGGCAAAAGACTCAGACTGTAAACCTACTTTTGCCCCATCCTGTATTTACCAGCAAACAAAAGGGTAAATATAAATGAGCTAAGCATGCCAACTCAAGAAGGCAGTGGTTGTGGGAAGAGCTATAGAGCAAACCCAAGAACTAGTAAGGAGAAAAAATAGTGATTTCACAGTAGCATTATTTATAGTGGTAATGGTGTTGAGGACAATCTGGGTATCAATTACTGAAAGAGGAAACTGGCAAAAAGTGGACACATGGATTCAATGTATACATAGTAACAGGAATGGATCTTAAAAACATAATGTCTAAGAAAAAAAAGCAGAAACAGAGTGCAACACAAACTCTAACTCATTGCATAAATTAAAAATATATAAACCTAAGCAATACTATGTATTTTGCAAGAACACATTAAAAAATTAAGCACAATAGAATGGTTTTTATTTTCAATGTTGCTGTGTTTTAAGAAGAATAGAAGTGAGTTATGTGCTAAAAGTGAAGGAATAAATGAAAAACAAAAAAGATGGAGGGATGGGCATCAAAATAAATTCCCCGAGGCTCTGAGATTCTATGATCCAGTTCTGTTTTTAATTATTTGTCTAATCTTGCACTTATGTTGGCTGATAAATTTTTTTGTAAGTACTCTGCTGGCTCATGTGTATCTTTGAGGTTTCAGACTCTAACTAGATCAGTGGTTCCCAAATTTAAATGTGTTATTTCAAAGGTTCTGCTAGATTATATGTTTGGATATGTAATTGGAACTTTATTGTTCAAGCAAGTTGTAAAAGTCATCGCCCCCAAATGCACCTGTGGCCATCACCACCCCCCTGGATCGCTGCAGCGCCCACCGGGGGGTGGTAGCGCCCACTTTGGGAATCACTGAACTAGATATTAAACCTGTATTTTAAACAGTGTTTAAATGTGTTATTTCAAAGGTTCTGCTAGATTATATGTTTGGATATATAATTGGAACTTCATTGTTCAAGCAAGTTGTAAAAGTTCTAGACAATTATTGGAGATCATTTCATTTAGATATAATACATATATTTAAGTATTGCTTAACTGTGTCCACAGATTTTGACAATATTATTTTTATTGTTATAGTAAAACTAGAGGCCCGGTGCATGAGATTCATGCACTCGGGGGTGGGGGGTCCCTCAACCCGGCCTTCACCCTCTTGCAGTCTGGGACACCTTGGGGGATGATCCTTGGGACACCTCAGGGATCAGGCCTAAGCCTGCAGTCAGACATCCGTCTCGCAGTCTGGGGCTCTTGCAGTTTGGGACCCGTCGCTCCTTACCACCTGCCTGTAGTGGAGGCGGGAGAGGCTCCCGCTACTACCGCTGTGCTCACCAGCTGTGAGCCCGGCTTCTGGCTAAGCGGCCCTCCCTCTGTGGGAGCTCACTGACCGGTTGTTCTGCTGTTCAGTTGATTTGCATATTATTCTTTTATTATACAGGATAGGATAAACATTTTTAATATAAAATCTACAGAAAAAAATATAAATCACAAGCTTAACAAGTTATCACCAAGTGACCCAACCATGTAACCACCACCCAAGTCAAGAAGTAGAACAGAAGTAGCATCCCAGAAGCCCTCCTCGCACCCTCAATCAATATCCTTTACCTCTTCCTTAAAGCTAGTCTCCTTTCAGGCTTCTCACACTTTAGTTTTGCTTGTTTTTGAATAAGAGTCTTTCAGTATGCACTCTTTTTTTTCTATCCTCACCAAAGGAGTGAGGATATCTTTTCCATAGATCTCCAGAGAGAGCAGAAGAGAAGGGAAGGGGTGGGGGAGGGGAGAGGGAGGGAGAGAGAGAGAAAAATATCAGTGAGAAAGAGACACATTGACTGGTTGTGTGGGGGGAGGGGGGTGTGAGCTGGGATCAAACTTGCAACCCACGTATGTGCCCTTGACGGGGAATTGAACCTGAGACCCTCAGGTGCACAGGCCAACGCTCTAATCAGTGAGCCACGTCAGCCAGGGCTCAGTATGTGCTCTTTTGTCTCTGTGTTTGTGAGATTAATCCACATGTTGCAGGTAGCAGTAGATCATTTGTTTTTATCACTGCATAGCAGCAGTTCTCAACCAGGAGTGATTTTGCTCCCCCAGAAACAATGTCTAGAGACATTTTTGGTTGTCACAACTCAGAGGTGGTTACTACTAGCATCTAGTGTGTAGAGGCCATGGATGCTGCGAAACATCCTGTAATGCACAGAACATACCTCCCCTTTGGCTCCAGGAAAGACTCATCTAGCCCAAGTGCTGAGGTTGAAAACCCTCTGCATAGTACTTTATTCCTTGGTATCTAGTCCCCCAAGAATACCAAAATCCATGGATACTTAAGTCCCTATTATAAAATGGCATAATTTTTGTATATAACCTATGCATATCCTCCTATATACTTTAAATAATCCCTAGATTATTTATATATCTAATACAATGTAAATAGTTGTTACACTATGTTTTTTAGGGAATGGGAAAAAAAGTAAATTTTAGTACATATGCAACCATGGTAGGCCTAACTATATAGTCAGCAACAATGTAACATTTTAAAAAATATATATATATTTTATTGATTTTTTACAGAGAGGGAGGGAGAGGGATAGAGAGTTAGAAACATCAATGAGAGAGAAACATCGATCAGCTGCCTCCACACCTCCTACTGGGGATGTGCCCGCAACCAAGGTACATGCCCTTGACCGAAATCAAACCTGGGACCCTTCAGTCCGCAGGCCGATGCTCTATCCATTGAGCCAAACCGGTCAGGGCTGTAACATATTTTTTAAACTTTTCGATCTGCAGTTGGTTGAATCCATAGATGCGGAATCTTGGATATGAGGGGTGACAGTTTTCCATAGAATCAGTATACGAAAACATGTTATTCATTTTACTATTAGCAAACTTTGGGTTGTTTCCAGTGTTTACTGTTACAAAAAGCAGTTAAGAACATCTTGTTTTGGTTCACTTAATGTGTACATTTTCAGTCAGTTATGTATCAATGAGAGCAATCTCTGATCACAGTAGTTGTACCAATTTACACCATTGCTAGCAATGTGTGAAAGATCCAGTTGCTCTATATCCTTATCAATACTTAGAATGATCAGTTCTTTAATTTTAGCCATCTGAAATGATGTATGATGTTATCTCATGCCCTCAATCAGCACCTCTTCCCTCTTCCTGAAAGGTACCTGGCATTTGATGACTAATGAGGTTGAGTACTTTTCAGATGGTAATTAATCATTTTGATATATTTCCTTTTTAAAAAAACAAACAAAACAAAACAGCTTTCTTGAGATATAATTCCCCCATTTTAAGTGTACAATTGAGCAATATAATTTTATCAAGTTGTGCAATCCTTACCACAATCCAGCTTTAGAGCATTTTCGTAAGATCCGTTTTTGTTTGCAGTTAATCTCTGTTCTTACTCCCAGCCTCTCACAACCTACTTTCTGACTCTGTAGATTTCACTTTTTTGAATATATCACACAAACAATCATATTATGTTGTCTTGTATATCTATTCTTTCATCTAATATAATGGTTTTGAGTTTTATTTATGTTGTAGCATATATTAGTACTGCATTTGCATTCCTATTTAAATTCCTGAGCAGTATCCCATTGATTGTAGAATACAGCACATTTTGTTTATCTTTTCACAAATTGATGGGCATTTGGGTTGTTTCCATCTTTTGGCTGTTATGAATAATGCTGCTATTCTGTGTGTGAACATATGTTTTCAAGATAGTAGGAGCAGAATTGCTAGGCAGTTTGGTATATTTAACTTTTTAAGAAGCTGCTAAACTCTTTTCCAAAGTGGCTGAACCATTTTATATTTTCACCACATCCTAACCAACATTTGTTACTGTCTCTGATTGAAAGAGAATAGATGGAGAAGTTGGCGAAAAGCAGGAGAGAGTTAATGTCATAGTGCTAAAAGAGGAAGAATAAAGTTTCAAGAAAGGGATTGATTGACATTGTCAACTAGTACAGAGGGGTCACAGGAGAAGAAAAAGGACATGGTGTCAGTTCATTTGCTTTGGCAGCAAGAGATCATATGTGACATAAACAAAAGCAGCTGACAGAAAAACACTGCTCACAGAGTTGAGTACCAGCTCGCAAGAGGAAGGTACAAACTTACTTCGTTCTTTCTTCTCTTCTCTTCACAGAATCCAAAAGATCTTTTGACCAGGTATGAACTCCTTCTTTCTTATGGGGTCTGCATGGAATGGTAAGGATACAGCCTGAGTAGAGGGGAAACAAGGCCGGGCTCCATGGGGCAATCTGGTCACACCTGGAGGGGCCTGTGGAAGAGGAGCTCTGTTCACTTTTGCAAGGAGGAATAGAAGAGAAGTTGTCTAAGCTTTGGAGTGGGAACCTTCATAGGAGTTGGGGGTCTTAGCTGCCCTACTTGTCTCCTAAGAAGAGCATCCTTCTGTACTTTTTTTTAGGAGTGAGAACCAAGATGTAAACTATTCCCTTGAAGTTCTAGAGGTGAAGACTGTGTGCCATATACCATTGATGAAGGAAATGCTGAAGCGATTCGAAGGTGAGCAAAACTTCTAGGAGTTGGAGCTCCCTATAAGTCTTTAAAATAAGAGAATAAACAAAGAGAAGTCTGGAAAGGAAGGAGGAAACAGGATATGAAACTAACAAGAAGGTCAGGAAAAATGGTAATTACTTAGGAATGAATGGATATATGCTTCATTCAAGAAACATTTATTTAGCTCTAGCCAGTTTGGCTCAGTGGATAGAGCATCGGCCTGTAGACCAAAGGGTCCTGGGTTTGATTCCTGTCAAGGGCACATACCTTGGTTGCAGGCTCCTCCCCGGCCTAGGGCCCTGGTCGGGGCTTGTGCAGAAGGCAACCAATCAATGTGTTTCTCTTACATCAATGCTTCTCTCTATCTTTCTCTCTCTCTTCTATTCTCCCTAAAAACCAATGGAAAAATATCCTCGGCAACGATTAACAACAGAAAACAAAACAAAGAAACATTTAACACATACTATGTGTTGTTATAAGGCACTAATGATACAGAAAGAAAAAGACATCTTCCTTCTAAGTATTCATAAGCAAATTGGAGACATAGACACATATCACTGTAATATTGTGGATTCAGTGTTTATCAGTGGTATGAAATATTATAGATGTACAGAGGAAGAGCTCTGTTGCAGGTGAAGTAGGGAAGTTTTCACAGCAGAGATGACAATTTTGGCATTTGAGGGTTAACCGAGGTAAAGCCAGGTAGACTCCCTGAGTTGAGCAATGGAACTGAGAGTCTAGGGAGAACAAAAAAAGTGAGAGTTTGCAGAGTCCTGGAGAGGAGATGGCTATACAGAGAAAGAACCCTGATGATGTACAGAGGCAACCCTGAGTTTTCAGCAGAGTACTGGTCAGAAAAGCTTGTGAAGAACTGCCTGAGGTTAAGGAAGGAAGTTTCCAAAATGACTATAAGGAACAGTTCCTGATGCGCACACAGGCCTAGGAACAGTACCTGTTTCTACCAGCCAGACTGGAACATTCTTAATTCATGATTACTGAATAGAGTATTCAGGAAAGTCTTGCCTCATTAGTGGGGAATAATTAACCTATACTGAGCAGTGCTTTGGACTCACCATAAAAATCATGAATGAAGACTCCAAATAATCAAATTATTCCTGAGTAATTGCATCCCAGGACAAGTTCAAGAAGATTGATTAGAATTTTAAAAAATGAGTGCATGTTCAGCAATGTAAATGCACAATCTTTGGCACCCAATCAAAGATTATCAGGCATGCAAAGAAGTAGGAAAACATGACTCATAATGAGAATAATTAATAGAAATTGACCCAGAATTGATCAGGTTATTAGAATAAACATAAGACATTAATACAGTAATTATAACTGTTCTGTAAATAGGCATATAGAGACATGGAAGGTATAAAAAAATAACCCTAGATCAAACTTCTAGAGATAAAAACTGGAATGACTTAGATGAAGAATGCACAGGTTTGGATAAATAGATGATTAGACATTGCAGAAAAAAAATTAACGAACTTGAAAATGGAGCAGTAGCAACTTTGCAAAATGAATAAATGCACAGAGTAAAGTACTGAAAATGAAAAGAGCATCAGAGAGGTATGGGAAAACTTCATGCAGTGTAATACATGGTAGTTGGAGTCCTTGAAGGAGAGAAGTAGGATGGGATGAAACAAAAGTATTTGAAAAAATAATGGCCAAAATTTTTCCAAATTTATTGAAAACTGTAAGTACACGGATCCAATAGCTCAACAAATCCTAAGCACAAGAAATATGATGAAAACAACAAAAGCAGTGCTAAAAAAATTTTTAAATATAACAGGATAAAAAGAACATGTTATAGGGGAACAAAGATAAAGATGACATCACATATCTCATGGGAAACAATGCAGGTGAACGAAATCTTTAAAGAACTAAAAGAAAAAACCTAGAATTAAAAGATCACCGGAAATGATAATGATATAAGTAAATATATATGTTTTTGTCATTTAAATATCGTTAAAAGTAAATAGTGATGGTTAATTTACATGTTAACTTTATTGGGCCACTGGGTGCCCAGATATTTGGTCAAGTATTATTTTGGTTGTTGCTGTGAGTATTTTGGATGAGATTAACATTTAACTTGGGAAACTTGAATAAGACAGATTGTCCTCCATAATGTTGGTGGGCCTCATCAAATCAGTTGAAGGCCTAACTAGAACAGAAGGCTGGACCACTCCTCCCCAGCCCTGAGCAAGAGGGAATTCTACAGTAGACTGCCTGTGGACTTCATCAGCAGTTTTGGCTCCTTTCAACTGGAGCATCAATTTTCCATGGGTCTTGAGCCTGCCCATACACAGTAGATTTGGACTTTCCAGTCACCATATTCATGTGAGCCAATACCTTTTTAATCTTTCTCTCTGTATATACACACACATCCTATTTGTTCTATTTCCCTTGGTACCCTGACTAATACAGTAATTGAATGTTTAAACAGACAGACAAAACAATAACATTGTGGAGTTTGTAACATATTACAAGTAAAATACATAATAATAGCATGAACGTTGGGAGGGAAGAATGGAAGTATACTATTAAACAGTTGTTATATGTGAAGTGGTATAATATCACTTGAAGGTAGATTCTGGTAAGCCTCACAACAACCACTAAAATAAAACATAATTAAAACAAAGGAGATAAAGTGGAATCATAAAAATATTTGATAAGAAGAAGACAGAAAAAAGAACAAATAGGAAAAATAGAAGACATATTGGAGGTATCACACTACCTGATAAACTATACTACAAGGCCATAGTAATCAAAACAGCATGGTACTGGCATAAAAACAGATAGAGATTAATGGAACAGAATAGAGAGCCCAGAAATAAACTCACGCCTATGTGGGCAATTAAAATTTCATAAAGGAGGCAAGAAAATACAAGGGGGTAACTAAATGGTGTTGGGAAAATTGGACAGATACATGCCAAAAAATGAAATTAGATCACCTTCTTACACCACATAGAAGAATAAACTCAAAATGGATTAAAGGCTTAAATGTAAGACTCAAAACCATAATCCTCCAAGAAAACATAGGCAGTAAAATCTCTGGCAGTATTTTTTTCTGATATATCTCCGGCAAAGAAAACAAAAGACAAAAATGAACAAATGGGATTATGTCAAAAGAAAAAGTTTTTGCACAACAAAGGTAACCATCAATAAAACAGACAACATACTGAATGGGTAACGATAATTGTGAATGATACATTCAATAAGGGATTAATACTCAAAATTTATAAGGAACTCATATAACTCAACAAATACATAAATAATTAAGTAAAACCCAAACAATCCAATTAAAAAGTGGGCAGAGGACTGAATAGACACTTCTCCAAAGAAGACTTACAAATTTCCAATAGACATGAAAGATGCTAAAGTCACTGTCAGAGAAATGCAAATTAAAACCACAGTATCATCTTACACCTGTCATAATGTCAATAAATCAACAAGTGTTGGTGAGGATGTGGAGAAAAGGGAACCCTCATGCACTTTTGGTTGGAATGCAAATTGGTGCTATGGAAAATAGTGTGGAGGGTTCTCAAAAAATAAAAAATGTAACTGCCTTATGACCCAGCCATTTCACTTTTGGATATATATCTGAAGAAACCCAAAGCACTAATTCAAAAGAATATATGCACCCCTATGTTCATTGCAATGTTAATTTACAATAGCCAAGATACGGAAGTAACCCAGGTGCCCATCAATAGACAGGTGGATAAAAAAGTAGTGGTATAGCCATGGCTGGTGTTTGTCAGTGGTTAGAGCACGGGCCTCGTGCACCAAATGGTCAAGGATTCGATTCCTGGTCAAGGGTATGCAGGTTCAATCCCTGGCTCTGGTTGGGGAAGAGGAGGCAACCAGTTGATGCACCTCTTTCACATCAATGTTTCTCTCCCCCCCCACCCCAAACTTCCCTCCCTTCCACTTTCTCTAAAAAGCAATGGAAAAAATATCCTAGGGTGAGGATTAACAACAACAACAAAAAGTAGTGGTACATATATTCAATGGAATATTATTTGGCCATAAAACAGAATGAAATCTTACCATTCGCAACAGTGTGAATGGACCTAGGAAGTGTTATGCTAAGTAAAATAAGTCAGAGAAAGACAAGTACCATTTGATTTTACTTATATGTGGAATCCAAAGAACAAAATAAATAAAACTGAAACAGACTCATAGACACAGAACAGACTGATGGTTGCTAGAGGGGAGGGTGTTGGGGCACTGGGTAAAAAGATGAAGGGATTAAGAAGTAGAAATTGATAGTTACAAAATAGTCATGGGGATGTAAAGTGCAGCATAGGGAATATAGTTACTAATACTGTAGTAACTATGTATGGTGCCAGGTGGTCCTGGAGTATCTGGGGGAACACTTTATAAAGTATATGATTATTTAGCCACTATCCTGTACACCTAAAACTAATACAAAATAATATTGAATGTAAGCTGTAATTGAAAAGTAAAATGAAAAGAAAACATATAGCAAGATGATAGATACAAACCCAATCATATTATTAATTATTAAATATAAATTGTCTTATATCCTAATTAAAAGATGGAGATTAATTGGATTGGATAAAAAAGCAAGACTCAACTGTATGCTGCAAGAAATACATTAAGTATAAATACATGTTAAAAGTAAAACAATGGAAAAAGATACACCATGCTAATATTAGTCAAAAGAAATCTAGAGTGGCTATATTAATACCAAAGATTTCAGAGCAAAGAATATTATCAGAGATAAAAGAGATAACTTCCTAATGATAAATGGGTTAATTCATCAGGACATAACAGTTCTAAACATTTATACATGTAATAACAGCTTCACAATATATTAAGCAAAAACTAATAGAGCTACAAAGAAGGATAGACTAATCCATAATTATAGCTGGTGTTTTAATACTTTCAATAATTTTTAGAACAAGTAGGCAGAAAATCAGCAAATAGAGTAGGCTTGAAGATCACTAGTAACCAACTTTATTTCACTGATATATATATAGAACACCAGAATACACATTTTAAAAAAGTGTACATGGAACATTTTAACTAGATAGACCAAGGTAGGCCATAAAACAAATCTCATTAAATTAAAAAGAATTCAATTTATGCAAAGTATGTTTTCTGACCATAATGCATTTAAGTTAGATATTAGTAACAAAAATGTCCATGGAAAAGTCCCAAATATTAGGAAACTAAATACATACTTCTAGATAACCCAGGAATTAAAAGAGAAATCAAAAAGGAAATAGTAAGTTCTTTGAACTGAATGAAAGGGAAAATACAAATCAGAATTTATGGGGTACAGCTAAAGTAATCCTTAAGGAGAAATTTATAGCACTAACCTATATTAGAAAAGAAGAAAGTTCTCAATTCAGTGTCCAGTTCCCACCTTAAAACACTGGAAGAAGAGCAAATAAAGCAAGCAATTAAAAGAATGGAAATAGAAATATTGCAACAGAATAAGAAAAATTATTGAAACCAAAGGCTAATTTTTGGAGAAGATTGATTTTATTAATAAACCTTTAACTAGAATGACCAGAAATAAGAGAAGATACCTATTGCTAATATCAAGAATGAGAGGCCAGCACCAGCCTGTATAATTTTAACCAATGTCATCCCAATAAATTCAATAAAAAAGGAATGAGAGAGGCAACATCACTACAGATTCTACAGATATTAATAGGATAATAAGTGAATATTATGAACAACTTTTTGCTGATACATTTGACAACGTAGGTGAAATGGACAAAATCTTTAAAAGACACAATTAAGGAAAGCTTGCTTAAGAATAAACAGATAGCCCTAACCGGCTTGGCTCAGTGGATAGAGCGTCAGCCTGCAGACTCAAGGGTCCCAGGTTCGATACTAGTGAATTCACCAAACATTTAAGAAATAAATATGTATTCTACATGAACTCTTACAAAAAAATTGAAGAGGAGATATTTTCCAATTCATTCTATGAAGCCTGCATTACCATAACACTAAAATCAAAGACATTACAAGAGAACTATAGATCAGTGTTTTCTATGAACATAGAATAATTCTAAAAATTTTAGCACACTGAATCTAACAACATATTAAAAGGATAATACATCACAACCAAATGGTTTAAATATTTGAAAAAAATAAATGTAATTCACCGCAGTAGCAAACTAAAAAAGGAAAATATGATAAGCTCATAGATGCAGAAAAGCATTTGTGAAAACACAGCATCCATTCATGATTTTAAAAATAAGACAAACTAGAGAGACATGGAGAGTCAGAGGGGAGAGAATTTGGAGGCAGGGAGGCCACGGAGGATGTTATAGACAAAGTTAAAGTGAGAGATGCTGAAGATCTGAGTAAAGACAGTGGCCGTGAGAATGAGAGGAGGAAAAGAACCCGACTGATATTTCAGAGGTAGAATTGATAGAACTTGGTGACAAATTAGTCATTGAGGGTTAGAGGGAAAGAAGAGTCAAATAACCTCAAGATGTCAAAGTGTGAGTATTTGGGTGGAGGTAATGCTGTTATACCTTAGAGACATAGAAGACAATGATATCTGCATTTGTAGGGGCCTTGTCCCAAGTGGGTGGAAGGAGACTTAGGATAGTAAGTTCCGTTTTGAGTTATCTGTTGGAGGTCTGTGGAGATGCCCAGTGAACAACTGGAACCAGTGAAGAGAAACCTTGTTAATGATGACATTCATGTGTACCTGTACAAAGGACCAGCCAGTCAACAGTCTTGGTCTAGTTCTGATTCAACAAATCAGAATTTGTTAATATTTCTCCAAATTTTTTGCTGGTTGTGAAGTCTTATGGCCGTGATCTAATGAGCTCCCTATTTTCTAGGTCTTAGTCTTTTGCAGCAGAAGGGAAATGAGGATTTCAGGTTGCTAGTGGCCCACCTGAGGGATAGTTGAGAGGCAATGAGGAGTCTCAGGCCTGACAGTACATGTTAGGAGGAGAAAGATGGAACTGAAACTGGAATGATGGGTGTTTCTGGAGGAGGGCTGGTGGTAAGCTCTTGCATTATTTATCTCAGCTCTTTTTTTCTCTGCAGTGGCTATCAGTGCAGCTGAAGACACAGGTCATCCCCACCTTGTCTTCTCCCAGGAAGGGAGGTATGTGAAAAATGGAGCACCCGCCAGTTCTAGGCCATTACTTTCTACAGCATGGAACTACTTTACTGGATGGAGGACTCCTCAGCAGAACACACACTTTGTGGAGAAATTTCAACACTTACCATGTGTTTTGGGAAAAAACGTTTTCACTTCAGGGAAACATTACTGGGAAGTTGAGAACCGAGATACCCGGGAGATTGCTGTGGGGGTGTGTCAGGAGGACGTCATGGGGATTGTTGATAACACAGAAATGTCTCCTCATGTGGGCATCTGGGCTATTTGTTGGAGTCCTGCTGGCTATTGGCCCCTAACAGGCTCCCCTGTGAGTCCCACCAAGCTAGAGCCAGCTCTCCACCGGGTAGGCATTTTCCTAGATTATGGGGCTGGAGATATCTCATTCTACAATGCTGTGGATGGAGTGCACCTACACACTTTTTCTTGTTCTTTTGTCTCATGTCTCCGGCCGTTTTTTTGGTTGAGCCCATTAGCATCTTTAGTCATCCCACCAGTGACTGGTGGAAAGTGATCATGGCTATTCTTCCCTGGCCCAAGAATCCCTACCTATGTCCCAGGGACACCCATTTCTTGGCCCTCTTTAACTTCATAGTGATCCTTCATAGTACATCAGTACTATCCATTCAGAACTTTTGTGTTTTGTTCATCTCCCTGTATGTCCTGTAGACAGATACGGCAGATCCTGTTGGTTGCCTTTCTAGCCACTTGCCCCACTTCTCAGCTTCTCTTCTGGATCTTTCTAATTGAACTGTTTGGTGTCCACCCTCTATGTGATTCAGGAGAAGCAGTCCCATGTGAGGTAATTCTGGCCAATGAGATAGGTTGGGAAGTTTTCCAAGGTGGGGAAACTTTCTGGGGAATATTTTTGTAGCTTCTAAAAAGAGGTATTTGGAAAGCCACAGCTCTTTTCTGATATTAGCAGCTGTCTTGGAACTGAGGAGAGTACAGTAACAGTGGAAAGGAAGAAAAAACATGGTCGTTGCTGGCATCATCAAACTGTTGGAATTTCCCTAATCCCAAACTACTTGTTATCTGAGATTATTGCTCCCTTCTTGTATGAGGCGATTTTAGTTGCATTTTGGTTACTTGCCGTCTGAAGTGTCCTAACTGGTGCTATAGGCACATAGCGTGGACATCCCACCGTTGAGGCTTATCTCATTTTTTTCTGAAACTTGACAAAGTATGGAATCCACATTCACTTCAATTGCATAATTCCTCTTTCCAGTAAGTACTATATCCTTTACTTTTCTGTATCAGAAAACTGAGGCAGTCTTCTCTGACTCTGCCCATGCTACTACTCTCTTCACCTGACCAGGTCTCAGCCGTCAAGTGTTGATTATGCTGTCTGTTTGTTAAAATCATAGGTTGTATATACAAGTTTATTAATATAATAGGAATGTTGAAAAACTTTTAAGTATTTACACTGTGCTAGCCTCTTCACATAATGCTTTCCTATGACTCTTGTAACAGCTTGGTGAGATGGAGATTAAAGTCCTATTTTTACAAGTGAGAAACAAACTTTTAGAGTAACTCACTAATGATTGCTTAGCTGGCAAATGGGAGTGTTGGGATTAAATTTAGATCTGTTTGAGATGAAAGCCACACTTTTTTCTACTCTGCATTTATTTGTAAGTATTTATTGAATGCAGATTGTAGGTCAGCATAAATTTGTTTCTTATTTTCTTACATGTTTTTATCCTCTATATGTGTTTTTCTCTTTACCTTTATACTCTCAATTGTAAGCACTCAAGAGGATTGTGGAAGTTACTGGATAGTTATTTTAAAAATAATGATTGTTGCTCTCGTTATAAAAGTTGTGCACTACTTATAGAAAATTTGGAATGTACAAAGTGTGTAAAGAAAGTCATCAGTGGTCCCACCATTACTAACATGTTAATGCGTTTTCTCCTAGATTTTCAATAGATTTTCTGGCAGTGATTTAACAAGGCTTCTTTCACAACTTCTAGCACCCTCCCTAACTCTTCTCCCCCTTCCTGTGGCCCAGCCCATTCTGGCTTATCTTCCTATTCAGCCAGGCCAATACGATTTCATTTAATGCTTTCTGCTGAGTTCTTAACTCTCCAAGTTACTTGAGGTTATGAGTTGAATGTGTCCTCCAAAAAGCTATGTTGAAGTCCTACCTGTGAGTATGACCTTATTGGGAAATTAAGTTGAGGTCATTAGGGTGGGACTAACCCAATGTGACTGGTATTCTTATAATTAGAGGGAAATTTGTAAACACATACACACACACACGAAATGCCATGTGAAGACATGGAAGATGGCTATAGGAGAGATTGGAATTATCAAGCCAAGGAATGCCTGGGCTTCTAGAAGCTGGGAAAGGAAGGAAGAATCCTCCCCTAGAAGCTTCCAAGAGAGCAGGGTCCTGCCCACACCTTAATTTTGGACTTCTGGCCTCCAGACTGTGAGACAATACATTTCTGTGGTGTTAAGCCAACCAGTGTGTGGTACTTTTTAACGGCAACCCTAGGAAAGTAATAGGTTCCATCAGGACTTCTTCTAGTACCCGCCTTGTTAATTTCCAGTCCTTGGGAAACTTATCAATACCTTTACTCCTCTCTTTGTTCTGGGCTGTTGAGCCAGGTTGATTGGCTGTGCTCCAAAGTCTTACTCTGCCCTAAAGAGGGCTCTTTGAGCTGCTTGGTAAACAAACTTCAATTTTTGATCCCTTGACTTCCTTTTATATCTCTGGTGGCAGTGATTCCAAGCTTTTTCTTCTTTTCTCAAGCTTTCATGAGCTGCCTTCATACCACTCTAGCTGGGGTAAAACTTTACTTCTACCTATCTTAGGTTTTCAGATAGGATTCTAACAAAAAATTAACAAGAAAAAGAACAGTTTATTAACACATGCAGCACATGACACTTGAGAGAAACTAAAATGAAGAGTAGCTCAAATTGGAGGCTTAGCATTCTGACTTACATAGTATCTTCAACAAAGACCAATAAATTTGTGGAGAAATAACAGGACAAAGGAAAGCAGTGTTAGCCTCCCCAGGGTGGCAGGTTGCAGGAAGGTAAATATATGTGAGGAAACTAATGGAGTAGTTTGTTTGCAGATTCTTCTGGTGCTGTGTCTGGGTTAAGAGGCTGCCTCCAGTAAAAGGAGAATTTGTATCTTGCCTTTAGGCAGAAAAGGGGGGGTGTGCTTTTCCTGGATTTCCTGCTGCTTATTTGTCTCAGCTCAACATAACTTACATGTTAGGCATATTTTGGGACACATTAGGGTCCTTTACTACTTATTATTGCAAAGAACTTGCTTCTTTTACTGAGAAAAAATTTTTTTCTGGTACTGTACCCAATTCTTTGTTCTTTTTTTGAGTCTTGATATTGGCCCCGCTCATATACTGAGTATGGGATGGGACCCATGTGTTGTATTTACTAAAACTCAAATAAGCTTTTCTGATGTACAAACAAGATTGAGAATAAACTTGTAATAGCTTTCAATTTTACTTGGAGGTTTCTCTGAGTCTTTACTATGTTAAATGTATTACCTGACTCATTAGGAGAGGTATTTATTATGTAGCCTTAAGAAAGCTTATTTCACCACAGACACTTTAGCTTTGGGAGCAGAAATTAACACTTCCCCAAAAACAGTTTGACAATGACTTTTTTAAAAAAAATCCTCTCTGGAGGATATTCTTTTCCATTGATTTTTAGAGAGAATGAAAGGGAGGGAGAAGGAGTGGGGAGAGAGAAACATCAGTGTGAGAGAAATACATGGACTGGTTCTGGTTGCCTCCCCAATGGGGTGCCCTGAACTGGGGAGGGGAGAGTAAACCCACAATCGAGGTACATGCCCTTGATAGGCAATCTAACCCTTCAGTCTGTGGGTTAATGCTCTGACCACTGAGCAAATCTGGCCAGGGCTGACAATGATCAACCTACACTTTCTCCAGGTGATCTTGACCATCTCAGATTTCAACCTAGACTTGTGCTGCACAGCCCCCAAAGTTGGTGATGCATGCTTTGGTTCTGTAAACTACTCATGCTGTGTGATCCTGAATAGGGCTCTGTTAAAGTCTTTTTTCCCCCTGGAGACTGAGCTTTTGTTATGGAAAACACTCTGGGGACATTTTCCAATGATTTCTAGTCCCCTTTTTCCTGCCAGAGCCATGAAGGGGATCTTTTTCAACTTTTCTCTGAGAATTTGGTGGGGTTCCTGGAGGTAAAACTCATGAATATGTGCCCCCTCTCCAAAACTGCAACTCTTAAGTTTCTCACTCAAGCCAGTCCACTCAACTTTGTCAAATCTACCAATTAAGTTTATGGCTCTGGTGGATTCTGCTTCAGGTAAGTGGATCTGAGCTTCAACTCTGGATCTGTCTACCCAGATTTTGGGGTGGCAATTTGCCAGGCAGCCTCAGTTCTCTGCTGGGTCCAAGAAACGCCATTGCTTTTCAACTTTCTCATTTTTTTTTTAAGGATATGAGTTATAACTTCCAAATTTTTTATACGTTGGATCTGAAACTGGAAGTCTACTATCATAATATTAGAATAAGTTTCTTGTAGACCTCTGTAATGGTTAATTTTGACTGGGCTAATGGATATCCAGATAGCTGTAAAACATTATTTCTAGGTGTGTCTGTGAGGGTGTTTCCAGAAGAAATGAACATGTGAATCAATAGACTAATTAAAGAAGATTGCTCTCACCAATGTGGATAAATATCATCTAATCATTTGAGAGCCTGAATAGAACAAAAAGGGAGAGGGAGGACAAATGTGTTCTCTGCTTCAGCTGGGACATCCATCTTCTCCGCCATTGGACATTGGTGCTCCTGGTTCTTAACCTTCAGGTTTGGACTGACATGTATACCATTGGTCTCTTGAATTTTTGGCCTTTGGACTCCAGCTGGAACTTACACCATTAGTCTCCATGGTTCTCAGGACTTTGGACTCCAACTGAATTATACCACCATCTTTACTGGTTCTCTAGCTTGCAGACAGAGGACTATGGAATGTAGTCTTCATGATCATGTGAGTCAATGGCCAGTGATCCATCCTATTTCTTCTGTTTCCCTGATCAATACAATCTCATATAGTTGGGTCCTACTTTTTAAAAAAATCCAGTCTGTCAAAAACTATTATTTTTAAATCATTCACCTTTAAATTTATTGTTTGTATAATGTATTGTTTGTATAGTGTTCTACCTTTGGGTGGGGGCAGCCGGGGAGTGGTCAATGGGGAAAAAGTAGACTTATGTAATATTTTAAACAATAAAGAATTTAAATAAAAAATTGTATGGATTAAAAAAAAAGTATGAGATATCTTTCCAGCAAAGGCAAGTGAATCCTTGATCGTATACCATTACACTTGATGGCACAACTAGTCTAGGATTCTATGAGCTGCCCTTGGACACTCCTAATAAATTATTATTATTATTAAAAAATATATACTATCTTGCTAGCTGTTCTCTATTAGTTTCATTTCTTCTATGTTTCTTTTTCCTTTTTTTTGCCTTCTCTAATTTTGCTGAGCATTTTTGAAAAATCATTTTATCTCCTGTATATACTTATTAAACTTCTTTTTAAAAAAATATATTTTATTGATTTTTACAGAGAGGAAGGGAGAGGGATAGAGAGTTAGAAACATCTATGAGAGAGAAACATCGATCAGCTGCCTCCTGCACAGCCCCTATTGGGGATGTGCCTGCAACCACGGTACATGCCGTTGGCCGGAATCGAACCTGGGACCCTTCAATCTGCAGGCCGACGCTCTATCCACTGAGCCAAACCGGTCAGGGCTTATTAAACTTCTTTAAAAAACCTTTTCCATCATTACCATAGGGTTTACATTTTGAAGTATGAATCTACCTTCAAATAATGTCACTTCATGTATGGTGAAAGACTAAAACAATATGACCTTGATTCCCAGTACTTGTTCGATTGTTACACATTTCACTTCTGCATATGCAATAAATATCAACACATGGTTACTATTATGACTTTAAACACTCGCTGTAAACATCTTCTGGTATGTTGGAAGTGTAAGGGGGTGAAATGACAATGTGGAAAAAAGACACAATGAAGAAACCCAGGTAACTGAGGACGTATAAGATACTTTGGAAAGATATTTCATAGAATATCCATGCTGATGAATTAGAAGCTATAGACTACATCCATAGGCATCCAAGAGAGACTCACAGGAAAGATTGAGAAAATCACTGCTCCTCTGGAGTCTGGATGCTTAGTACAGCCTTCATTTTTTGTTGACTTGGTCTCTAAGAATGTAGGAGGTAGGTAATTCTGAAGTGAAAACGATTTTCAGAGTCAAAAGGATTAGGGTCCTCTGAATAACATTGAAAGCACACTTACCTGCTCTTCCTCACAGTTTTGTCATCATTGATATATGGTGTAGATCTACAGAATGTTTCTTGACAGATCATCCTGGCTTTGTTTTTTCATTTAGCATGACACACACACTTTTAGGTCTTGCTTCTTCATCCATTGTAAAAATTTCTGACTTTTAATTGAACTGTCTAATTTATTTGTACTTAATGATATAATTGGTATAATTGAGTTTAAATCTACCAACTTTTTAAAACTTTTTGCTTTCTGATGCAAGATTGGTTCAATATCTGCCAATTAATTAACATGATACACGACATAAACAAAATGAAGGATAAAAATCACATGATCATATCAATAGTTGCATAAAAAGCATTAGACAAAGTCCAGCAGTTGTTTATGATAAAAACTCTCAGCAAAGTGGGAATAGAGAGAACATACCTCAATGTAATAAAGGCTATATATGACAAACCCACAGCTAACATCATGCTCAACCAGGGTAAACTAAAAACGTTTCCCTTAAGATCAGGAACAAGGCAAGAATATCAGTTTTACCACTCTTATTCAACATAGTCCTGGAAGTCCTAGTCATAGCAACCAAACAAGAAGAAATGAAAAGCATCTACATTGGAAAGAAGAAGTAAAACTGTCATTATTTGCAGATGGCATGATATTGTATATAGAAACCCTAAAGATTCCACCAAAACACTACTAGAACTGATAAATGAATTCAGTAATTTAGCAAGATGCAAAATAAATATTCAGAAATTAGTTGCATTTTTTATACACCAATAATGAACTACCAGAAAGGGAAACTAAGAAAACAATCCCATTTACAATTGCACCAAGAAAGGTAAAATACCTAGAAATAAATTTAACCAGGGAGGTAAAAGATTTATACTCAGAAAACTATAAGACACTGAAGAAAAAATTGAAAAAGATACAAATAATTGGAAGCACATGCCATGCTCAAGAAAAGAAGAAATTAACATCATTAAAATGTCCATACTACATAAAGAAATCCATAGATTCAACACAATTTCTTTAAAAATATCAATGGCATTTTTCATGTAGATCAAATAATTCGAAAACTTATATAGAACCACAAAAGACTGAATAGCCAAGCAATCTTGAGAAAGAAGAACAAAGTTGAGGTATCACACTATCTGCTATCAAACTATACTACAAGGCCATAGTAATCAAAACAGCATGGTACTGGAATAAAAACAAACATATAGATTAATGGAACACAATAGAGAGCCCAGAAATACACCCACACCTATATGGGCAACTAAAATTTCACAAAGGAGGCAAGAACATACCATGGGGTAAAGACAGTCATTCAGTAAATGATGTTGGGAAAATTGGATAGATACATGGAAAAAATAAAACTAGACCATCTTCTTGCACCACATACAAGAACAAACTCAAAGTGGATTAAAGACTGAAACATGACAGAACCATTAAACTCCTAGAAGAAAACATATAAGGTAAAATCTATGGCATCGCTTTTAGCAATAGTTTTTTCTGATAAATCTCCTCAGTCAAGGAAAACAACAAAAATATGAACAAAGGAGACTACATCAAACTAAAAAGTTTTTGCACAACAAAGGAAACCATCAACAAAACAAAAGGACATCCTGAATGGAAGAAGGTATTTGCCAATGATACATCCAATAAGGGGTTAATAACCGAAAATTTATAAAGAACTCATACAACTCAACAACAACAAAATCCAATTAAAAAGTGGGCAGAGGACCTGAGTAGACACTTCTCCAAGGAAGTGTCTATAGACATATGAAAAGATGCTCTACGTCACTAATCATCACAGAAATGCAAATTAAAACCACAATGAAATATCTCAAAGCTGTCAGAATTGCTATTATCATTAAATCAACAAACAACAAGTGTTGGCAAGGATGTGGAAAGAAGGGAACCCTCTTGTACTGTTGGTGGGAATGCAGATTGGTGCAGCTACTATGGAAAATAGTATGGGGGGTCCTCAAAAAATAAAAATAGAATTGCCTTATGACCCCATGATTCCACTTCTGAAGAAACTCCAAAACTTGAATATATGCATATCTATGTTTACTACAGCATTATTTACAATAGCCAAGATATGGAAGCAACCCAAGTATCCATCAATAGACAAATGGGCAAAAAGT